TGTTTTTAATTAATTTTATTATTTTTTTAATTCTTAACAACCTTCTATGCTGCTGATAACCATATATGTAGTCGTTGTTGTCCGTTGACTTTCAAATTCAGTTTGGCTTATCTATGCCAAATAACGGTTCGATCACACTGTTAAAGGCACTTTCAGTTAGGTTGCACGTAATTTCTACACTTCAAATTTTATTTTTCGAGAGTCTTTAGTTTTTATGTGCACTTTTTCGCATACAATTTCTTTCAAATTAAATTTAAAAAATTTGCTATTTTGCAGCGTTTGTTGTTGCTTTATATTCGCGTTGCTACCACGTTCGGTGTTCGAGCGTAAATAAACACAGTCTGCAGTTGATTTTCGCTGATATAGTGGTTGGAAGCGCAAAAACGGCGCGCACACCAGCAACAGCAGCGGTAGTAGCACCAACAGCCCACAGCCAAGAGCTAACAGTAGAGCGACCGGCACCAAGCGTTAGCATGTTAGCATCGTGTGTTAGCGTCAGTGTCAGTCGCAGTCAGCCGGTTAAATCGTGCCAGTTGGGTCGTCAATCAGCTGCTTGGCAAACGGCCAACTTGGCCAGTTAGCAGTCATGTTTACAGCGGCATTAGCAGCGCCGGCAGCGATAGCAGAAGCAGCAGAAACGTTTAGTTCGATAGTTAGTGGCCTAACATTACTGTTGAYGCTATGCGCAGCGTCATGGCGCCGTTTACGTTAGCTGCGTCTATTATGCTGTCGTTGGTGGTAATAAAGAGACCAACTAACAGTGTGCTATTTTGAAGCACACTAGCAAAAATATTAACTAAAGCGTGCGAAGTGATAAAAGTAACGACTGAAGTWACAACTGAATGGAGCTGTAGATTATGATTGAATTCAAAACTAGAAGATATTATAAATACTGTTTTCTTAACGCCAATATTACTTAATAGGTTTCAGAAAAAAGTAAATATTTTTGAATGTTCAAAATCAGCATATTAAGATCTAAGGTTGAATTATCGATATGATTAAAAGGTTTTTAGGTTAGACTAAGAAATCTTCAATTTCTAATTACATTTTTCTAAACTTTGAGGAATGAGTTTAAGTTTTCGAATTTCCAAAATTTCAATCGAATTTGCTAYCTGAGAAAGCTGTAATGTATTGATATAAGCTAAAATATTCTCTTTTTCGGACAACTCGACGGCGATACTTTCAATGCTTATGTAAATTCCGCAGTAWAAATCCCTCATGTGATTTATTTTCAATTTTCGAAATTTCAATCCAGTAGATTGTTAGATATTTTCACAGCAATTCCAACGTACAGAAGAAGCCAGGAGATCGTGAATCCGATTCCCCAATCGATGCCCATGGATCAGACGTTCCATTGCCCGACCATGAAGAAGTCTGATTAGCAGTTACCCGTCTCAAGAACAGCAAAGCGGCGGGGCAGATGGATTGCCGGCCGAGCTATACAACTGCGGTGGCGAAGAACTGATAAGAAGCATGATCAGCTTCTTTGTAAAATATTCTCGGACGAAAGGGAGACAAAGAAAAGGAGAGGAGACCCGTGGAATAAAGATTAAAGCCCACCGTCAACAAACTGATTGGACCTTATCAGGCTTGGAAAATCAACAACTGACTAGATACTACTGTGGAAAATTTATGACCCGGCGAATACCGGGAAGAGCTGTATGAGATACATGACGACGGTGACATAGTTCAGCGCGTTAAGGGACAGGATCTAGGCTGGCTAGGTTACGTCGTCCGTATGGATGAAAACACTCCAGCTTTGTGGGTGTTCGACACAACAGCCGATGGGGGAAGCAGAGAAAGAGGAAGACCGCCACCTCGTTGGAAAGACCAGGTGGAGAATAATCAGGCAATACTTGACGCCAAACAGTGAAATAGCGATAACTCCGTATGCGGTCTACTTTCAATGAGCAGATAGGATTAAGTTACTATACTGTCCAGAACCAGACATAACGCAGCCTTTAAGCTACCGGATCAATACAGTATATTTGAAGCATAAGTGTTTACTATATGTAAAGCCGAGGAGTTCGAATCTAATTAATTAACAGGCAACCACAAAGAGATCATCTACGTAGAAAGMAATCAAGGACATAACCTCGTTCTATATATCGGCTAGAAGTGTTTTGACCAGCAGAGCGGTATTAGTGAGTGTCGCCAGAAATAAGCAACTTCACTTCAACTGGGTGCCAAGTCATAAGGGAATGGTGTACAGCTGTCACTCGAAAGCTTGACTGACATAGATACAACAAAACTTTGTCTACATACACGACAATATATGTACATAGCCAGGAGCATGGTAAGGGCGCAATAAAGCAATTCATCTAGGAAAAATTGGTGTGTAAAATGATAAATCAGAAATATATAGGCTCCCACTGGTACTCGATAGCACCGACGATTTTAATTTAACTTTAGAGTAATTTATAAAGTAATATCAATATTAAAAATATGTTGGAAGAAAATTGTTTCYCTCGCATGAAATTTCTAATCTTCTGCGGTATTTTTGGCACAAAAAGGAAAATATTATTTCACAAGAAAAGCTTCCTGCTACCATAGTAAATCAAACTGCTGCGTTGCTCTTAACATTAACATTAAACAGTGGCTGTTAGCGAATAACAGTGGAAGCCAGTAGTGGCGCCATTTCTTTTGCTACAGTAGCTACATACATATTATCCGTTATAGCCACCAACATAGTTGTTAATACTTGTATTGCGGTTGTTGGCATTTTACTTTCAACATGACCATTATATATCTACGATAACCTCAATGTTGCTGTTACTTTTGTGGCGGAAAATACTTTGGCTCCATTCCCCATAAAGTGAAATGAAACAAAAATGTTTTGTGTGTATGTGTTGATGCATAATTTGCTATTTCGATTACCGTTTTGCTTTGCCAATAAATTGCGATGCATCTTTTTGCCGCTTTGCTTTCTTTTATCTATGCTTGTCATTGAAGTCAGCTGAGTGCGGCAGCTGGTGACTCTATGGCTTAATAATATAGCTATAATGGTATATTTATGAAAATACGTATACCATAGATTAACTTCAAAAGTGTGGAGATTGTATAAGGCTATGAGCAAGTTAGTCACGTGCTGCTGTCATTATGATTTTATTTTTTTGGATTTTAGTGGCTTGACTAGTTTTGGAAGATAGCCACTTAAGGCAATTGAAAACAAATGCAAAAAGCCAAAAATCAACAAGTTGCAATTTTTGCAGTTTGCTTATTTTCCTTTGTCCTTTTAGGTAATTTTTATAAACCATTTTCTGATAAATTAAATTCGATATAAATAATATGGGCAATTATCGATGATGCAATATTGATTTTGGATAGCTCAAAGCCAAAAAAATGTTATATAATAACTAAATTTTATTTTTTTTCAAGGAAAGTCTCTTCATGGTTCATGGCGCACAAGCTTTAAAAGATGGTATATACAAATAACAAAATTTCAAAAGAAAAAAACGGAAAAGTCCCTGTATATGGGGACATAAAAGCTTTGACAGTTACATATACATTCCCAAACAAATTGAAGTTGAAAGCATTTTTTCTTAGCCTTGCTAACGACAAAGACAGAAATGCTCTTTCTCTACAAATAATTGTCGTAGTTTTTGTTTTGCTACATCATCATCAACTGTTCGCTGCTATCAACATTTGTAAATTTATTGATAAAACAAATATACGTAAGCACATGTGAATAGTTTTTCGTTGTTTCGCTTTTATCGCTGCAAGAAACATGAAAACGCGGCATATTTACTACGTTATGGTATTTAATAGTTTGTTTTGATAAGCAAGTATGTCACAACTGACTCGATATAGTTATAGGCCTACGAGCATGTTGTTTTAGCGACGCATGAACTTGCACGCACATAAACACACGCTGAATTCAGACAATTATATGGAAATTGTCACGGAAATAACAGCATTTAATTTTCGCACAAATGTTGCGTATACGCAGTGTATTTGGTTTAGGGTGACACAATTATTCGACGAAAGTTTYGTGTTAAATAAAAACTTTTACATTTTCATTGAATAATTTCAAAACCAAGGATTGGTGAATATTATAATTGCATCAACATAAAAATGGTTTTGAGTTGGAGATAAACATGCCACAAGTTCCACATTGCTTATYACACTTAAAACTTTTTGTGCCGAAATATATGCCGGTTATATTATATTATATACAAAAACGGTGGAGAATGAGAGACTTAACTGGTTCACATATTTTAAATATTGAGTCTGGTTTCTTTTCTAATAGACATATTGTATCGAAAAAAACTTTTAAGGCTCTTTTAGCAAAATTTGGTAAAACTTGACTAAACGTAATCTGTACACGGCGGATATTGTTCCATTGGCTACAGAGCTAATAGATACTATTATTGCGATTCATAGAATGTGATCTACTTCTACTACCTGGCCCAATGCGACTTTTCTGTTTTATTTGAAAATTTCAAAACGACACGTGCCGGATTGGAACTAGAGTTGAATAAGAAGGATATCGCCATCTGAAATATTTTGAAGAACATAGCGAAACGTATTTTTCAGAGAGTTTAAATATATTATAGCATATCTTACAGTTCAATTGAAARGTCCACAGCCTGACACAGCTTCTTGAAGGGAAAATATACATTTGACGCAAAAACTTTTTACGATGACGAGTTTCTGTTCTGCTTCGGTGTCTCGCAAATGTTTGCAAACAAACTCAAATTTTTTCATCGGCATGGGACAATGGATGAAACATACCGTCTTGATTTCACTTCGAAGCCCAATCGACCGTCATCCGAGTGGATTGCACACGATGACCCCGCTCCAAAGTGTGGAAAATCAAAACAGTTGACCGCMAAAGTTATGGCTTCTGTATTTTGGGATGCACGTGTAATAATTTTTATTAACCAAGGAAGTAATTTTTATTGAAGGACCATTAACGTTATTGGATCGTTTTGCCAGATCTGATCACAAAAACTGGATGGCTAAACGATCATAAGTCAACTTTAGATAACTATAGGGGCTTGAATAATTTTGTTTGCATTTGAATTTTTGGTCACAAGATAGCATAGTTTAAAGGAATTATTAGGGCAAAATTGTATTCTGTTATATTAATTGCTTCCTGATTTCTGTTCTGGAAAGTAAAGGAATCAAATTGAACTTAAAATAGTGTTATATGGGAAATAGGCACATTTGTTGGTCCGATTTTCGCATTTTGACATAGGAATATGAGAAGAATGCTACGCACTAAATTTAGTCGAAATTGGTCGGTCGGGACCGGAGATACATACATATGATTTTACCAAAAGTGGGGCGATGCCAAGCTCATTGTCTAATATTCACAGCAGCTGCAACATCCTCT